TTGGCTCCTGGGTGGCTCGCACACCGTGGCACTATGCCGGAAATTTGAGTTTTTCCGGCCTGAAAAGCCTGTCAGTGAGGCGCAAGAACTTGTAAATCATGTCCTGAGGGCCAGCATAGTGGCAGGAGTGTGTGGTCAAAATTTCCCTCAAATCCACTGAGAAACAACAAAGTTACGGTCAATTGAATGCCATATGAAATTTTTGGGTGATGTGCCCCCTGGCACATCACCCAAAAATTCGCTGAAAAATCGAATTTGTAAATTCATATTGAGTGCTACGTCAGTTGAAAGAGCATGAATAGCTGCAAATTCTCTGAAAACTGTGTCCCTATCTGACCAGCCGTTCAAGAGTTATGGCCGAAAATGTGCCCTTGCAAGGAAAGATTTTTTTGTTGCATGCTGTCATTTGTTGGCAGCACTGTATTTGAATGTGAGCAGACCGTGCGCAACTTGTCGTATTATGGAAACCTGCGAAAGTGTGCAGAATTTTGCCCCAAGTCCAAAAAAGTCCAAAAAATCACGTTAAAAAATCACGTATTGGGCTGCACGGCGGCGGGCGAAGCCCGCCGCCGTGCAGCAGGACTTTTGCCAGCACCCTCGTGACGTTGCAGATACATGTATGTGGCTTGATTATTGTAGTTGACGTTGATTTAGTGACTTTGGCAAGTTTGAGTCGTGTCAAGAAGTCAGGTAGGATTCAGTACTAGGCAGTAGTGAAACGTGAGTGGCAGTCTTTGCCGGTTTCTGAGGGCATCCTGGATTTGGTGTGCAGCGCTGTGGAAATGGCTTGCTGTGGAGGTCCCAGCACTGGATGTTGTATGAAAGGTACGACCTCGTAGCACGTGCTAAACCTGAAAAAAATCAAAAATTGACTTGGGCCTGTGGGAGTCCGCGAGAGAACGCCCACTCGTTCCGTTGTGACAGATTCCAGGGCCACGTAGAGGGGCCCTACCCCACCACCCATGGCTGCTTCTGGACTTGTTTTAGGTTTGGGTCCCGCGCACGGACAGAATGGGCACGAAAATGTGAAAAAAATGTAAATGCATTTGTTTGGCTCCTGGGTGGCTCGCACACCGTGGCACTATGCCGGAAATTTGAGTTTTTCCGGCCTGGAAAGCCTGTCAGTGAGGCGCAAGAACTTGTAAATCATGTCCTGAGGGCCAGCATAGTGGCAGGAGTGTGTGGTCAAAATTTCCCTCAAATCCACTGAGAAACACCAAAGTTACGGTCAATTGAATGCCATATGAAATTTTTGGGTGATGTGCCCCCTTAACAGCTGACGAGCTGAGAGAAGGACGTCATGGGCAGAAGTTGGAAGAAAAAGGAGTTTTTTTATACAAGTAGAGGTTTCAGTGGCCGCATGACCACCAGGACGACATAAAGAAAAGAGCGAAGAATACAAGACGAACGTCAGGAGTAGTCTCCTACCCCCCCCCCCCCCTAGCATAATGAGGGTCAGAACCGGGTGCGACACCCATAATTATGGTTCAGATGGTCCGCAGGGACCGGGGCTCTGCCAACCGCGGAAGGTTGTAGTAAGGTCACTGTTTCCGATCGGCCGAACAAAGTGTCCTCCACCTTGTTTCATGATGTCATGCTGTCAATCTAACACTATGCCTGATTGTACTAGTATTCGAGTCTCACGTGACCCGCAATTTTAACAAAATTAAATAGTATACATTAAAAGTAATCAGATGGCCCAACAAGGCTGTCAAGAAGAAGCGGCAACTTAGAAAGATGGCGTCGGTTCGAGATGGCATGGTAACCGCGCACGTGCCGTGGTCCGTGACTTGCTCATGTATGCACGCAAATGCAAGTCACAAACTCACAAAGATCGTCTTTGCATTTGGAGAAAATATCTTCGATTCTCTTTGGAGGTTGGCGAGGTTTGCCTAATCTTTACTTGATTGCGATGCCGGTATGTCCTCTCAATAATTAGAACAAAGAGAGCTGATGATCGCTTCATTGCTGAGCAGAAGTAACAATCAACTCTCCTCGTGTCCTCAGTGCCAAAGGCAGACGACTGCAATTCCACAACGCTCATTTCACGATGATGGAAACAATAATCGTGTACTAGTACACACTTGGACCATTTGGTCATCCCTATTCTAGCCGCTAGTCCGTCCAGCAAGCAGATATTGACTATTACGATAAGTACAACTGCGTGAACGAGGGCTCACCCAGCAAATTCAATTCAAGACGTGACTCCAGTCAAGAATTAGGGTCTTTACTCGAGAACTTCACAAATACAGGTCAATGCACCCCACAAAACTGATAGATGGCACGAACGAAAGACAAATAGGCTAGACAAAGTGTCCCAAGTGATTGAAAACAGCAGATCTACCAAATAAGACCACAGCCCGCACGAAATACCTTTCAAATAATTCCAGGATGCAATTGCAGCTCCAGACAGGAGGAAGAAGAACACCGTGAAAAATAACGGCAACGATGCCCAAACTCTCGGGAAACGGCTGAAGTCTTCCTCAAAGAAGATGTTAACATTGAATAGCCATCGATTACCAGCGTGGTTTGGTGACTTTAGAACTGTTAGCATTATACACTTCACACTAAACCGTATGGTACTCGTACCCAGCACCCAAAATACTGGCAGTTTTGTATCGTTTCGAGCACAGGAGGCTCTGTTTACCCGGAGAACGAAACGGTAAGATTCCAACTAGGGTGACGTCACAGGGTGATCGTTGTGTCAGAAACTGAAATGCTAATCATGTCTTGAAACACACAAAAACGGTACAGGCTGACGGTGGAAGTTAGGGTGAACGGTAAAAGGCTATCCATGACTAGTAGTGAGCAACACAGCGTTGTCAATGAAATCACACAGTGCAGTCCAATTCAGATAAAGGACGCATGCAAACACACACAAACACACACACACACACACACACACATACCACGTGCCATGTATACGCCCGGCGCAAGATAAGCACGCAAATCTACAAATGCGCTGGATGTGCATCCCCAGATTTTTCTTTTTATAGCAACGATACACACGCACACACACACACACACACACACACACACACACACACACACACACACACACACACACACACACATGCACACACACACACACACACACACACGCACACACACGACTGAGTACCCTCACTGAGGATCGTCAGACTGTCTTCGACTGCCAACAGGCATCCATAAGACTATTAACGAGGAAACATCCATCACCTCACACCCAGACAACGCAGCACACACTTCTAAAGTGAAAGGAGGGACGAAGAAGAAAGCCATGCAGCATAGCATGACCTCGTCCGATACAAAAAGCGAAAATCTCTAAATTGCTCGAAGTCGAAAAATAGCCAAAATCTAAAACAAATTGTGAAGGCGGCAATCCGACCGCTCTAGAGAATATGCAAGTCATAATGTAGAAAATAAGGAAACAGCTGTCATATCCTTGAGGGGCTAGGTGATGGGTCATTTTTAATAGGCTCAAACCAAAAGGGAATGCGTCGAATGGTGGAAAAAAGGGCAGATGCGGCGGCCTGGGCCATGAAGCAAGGAAAAGCATAAATACTGTGTCAGGGCAGGAGTGTGAGCGTTGGGTCGGGCCGCTAAATCACTTCTTATGACAACGAGTGCACAGACCCACCAAGCTCATGTGGGCAGCTGACGGAGGAAGCTAATCACACGCACGAACAATTAACGCATCGTCACGTATACGACACCGACGCTGGTAGCGGCAATGCAGAACTAGGAAAGAGATAGAAATTGCACCAATACTCTGAAGGCATGTTTCGCAAACTGAAAACATGATAAATTTCAGGATCTGCAGTGATACAAATAGGACACCGCTAGACAAGTAGAGTGTCTCTGTCGTGCCGGACCTGCAGGATAACTGCATTGGGTCTGGCTATCTGGACAGGTGAGAGCGGAAGTGTATATTACAAGATGAGGGAAAGTGCCTATTGCATAGCGTGATGCCAATGCGAACAGTGGGAAGCGGAAATTCCGTATCATGTTTGACCTGAATTTGACGCAGGCGAGTGCTGCGATAGACAGGCCTTGTTATCAGACACATACGGATGAATCAGCAGCACACACACATACACATGCTCGCATACACACGCGCACACACACACACACACACACACACACACACACACACACACACATACGCACGCATGCACGCACGCACGCACGCACACACACACACACACACACACACACATACGCACGCACACGCACACACACACACACACACACACACACACACACTAGTACCTAGAGCAGAGCGGGAGCTGTGAGCTGAACAGCTTATGCCACCTTCTCCACATAGTTATACGGGAACAGGCCGATCTTGCCTTTCAGCTTTCCCTTCCACCATCCACTTCCATCTGCAGACGACGAAATGGAACGCAAGAAGACAGGAGCGTAAAGTTGAGGAAAGTGTCGCAGAGCGGACGGGGAAACACGGCTTGCACAAGTTCAACAAACTGCATATACTTGTCCCTGTAACACACTTCACGTCTCCAACTCCAATAGCGGTCTCTTCACTGCGAACAACATTACGTTGGTGCATTTTGCCTCAGTTCCGAATTCTCCACCAATGAGTGGAAGACGAAGATTGCAATTCTGGAATACAAATCGTACTTTAAACTAGATCCGGTGTTATGGTGTTTTTTTCAGTATGTGCTATGCCTGCATCCGTTATACTCTTCAAAGTTATAATCAAGTGTTTTAGTTTCCACGCCGATTGTTCACTTTACATTCCAGCAACTGTTTGTGCCTGACCAATCATCAGGCTTAAGATAACCTTGCACATTGGATAAATATTGAATAACACACTGAAACAGAATAGCCCCACCCAGGTTCAACCAGCTCTATGAAAATGTCACATGCCAAAGCTCGATACCCTGCTCAGCTTACAACAAACTAAAGGAATAACTAACTACTATCAGAGACCCCTTTCAAAGCCCGTCATGCCAACCACTTGACCTCCATGCGTCATAAGAAATACAAAAAACAGCACTGAGCTCGCAAAACATGTAAATCGTTCTCTCACCTTCACTGATCAGCTCTATCATTACTCCCTCGCCGAACGACAGCTCCTCGGCATCCTGTGCTTCGTACTCGTACACCGACTTGACCATGTTCTTCTTCGGCGGTGGTGCAGGTTTGGGCTTGCCGCCCGGTGCTGGCGGCGCCTTGCGATGCTTCTTTGAATGCGCTCTGCACCGGGGAGCAAACAGCAAGGAGAAACAATAGCAAACACGCAACAGAGGCAGTTCACAATGTGTCCAACGGGAACTCAAGCATGGGGCTTGGGATTGGTCGTTAGTGAAACTATTGAAAACGTTTCTTATCATCCGCAAAACTGTTGCTGATGAGCAAAATTTAACATCTAGGAGTTGTACGACATCCAGGAGTTGTACGACTCCTTGCTCTTGACCTGCCCGGTACGCGACCCCGTCGATATTATTTTTTCCTTTCATGGACTTTTGTGCTACACACAATTCCCCAAGTATCGCCGGAGACGCACCAACCTCTTCTTCATGGACTCTGGTTAAGCAATACAGATCTTAAACATAGCACTATGGCATGGCAAGGCGGGTCATAGATCGGAGGAAAATTGTAAAGAAACAACATCACTCAAAATCTTGTAACCTTCGCACATTTCTCACACCGACATCTGTACACACATGCACACACGCATATGCACACACAAACGTACGCATGTAAACGTGTACACGTGCACACACGTATACACAAACATACACACGCACAACCACGCAAACACACACACACACACACACAAAACACGCACACGTTGCGTAGTCGACTCACCCCTCCGTAACCTGGAAGAGGTAGCTCTCGTCTTCGTGCTCCATGTTGCGGCTCTTCTCCTTTCCGCGTGCGCCGCTCTTGTGCATCGACGGAGCGCGTTCCCGACGGAAACTGGCCACGCTGCCGACCTTCTGCTGGGAGCGCGAGTTGGATCGCGGCCTTCCGCCCTGACTGGCCTGTGCCTGCGAGGGCTTTGCAGACTTGGCAGGCCGGTAGCCGCCGCCTCCTCCACGTCCGCCGGCCGGAGCGCCGCCTCTAGCGGCACCACCACCGTATCCACCGGCAGCAGCGCCGCCCGCACCGCGCGTGAATTCTCGCGAGTCTTTCGTCGGACCTGCAGCGTGAATACGTATGGATAGATATTTAACGACAAAATGACGATGCATACATTATTTTTTTAACGACAAATGACGATGCAGATACATTATAACCATTAATTACAGTACTGTCTGTCGGGTGCCGAAGAACTGGGGGTTAGCCTGCTAGCCTAGGCCGTTCCTATTTTCATACACTATACAGGCTGTGCAGGGTTGAGTCACATTGCATACATTGCTATGCTGTGCTGGTGAAATCCTCGCCTGTTCAGTCTTCGGCAAGCGACAGCACTGTAGTTGCATTCATATTGGCTCAGACAAAAAAAAGCCAGTGGGACGGAAGAGATGGTACGCCGTAAAAATGCAGCACACACACACACACTTCAAAGAGTGTACCGGAATCGAGCAACGAGACAAGCAAAACCCACGGATGGACAGGATGGCAAGACAGACGTGCACACAACAAGTAAAGGTGGAGTGAGGAAACACAACAGGAATTGTATTTAGCTGGTACTGGGCGCACCCTGCCACCAAGAGTACATAAGCTACCAAGAGTGTGCACCTCTGAATACGGGGTCTCCGACGGCGAAAACTCACATTACGTGTTGCAAGTACGTTTTGCACTACATACAACGAAGACCAGCGTGCACGCAGTCCGAATATCTGACATGACCATGCTGATGACTCCCATAACGCAGAGTTGGTTTCTGTCAGAGAGTGCTATTCTTACTACTCTACTGGTCACTAAAAACGGGCTGGTAAAGTACAACGGGACACTGACTACACAACGCACTGTGAGTTTTATTGCTGTCAGCAGACCCCCATGAATGGATATCCAGCGTTGCACACACCAGGGAGCTTGTGTACACTTGGTGCCACCCATTACCCATAATCTGCGGCAACAATACAATGATCTGAATCATCAAGCTAGCATGTGAATGAATAACAATTTCCAGACGCCTTACGTGTATCCGATGGCAGTCCACCAATGATGCTGACCACAGCAGACTTGGAGGACGCCTTGATGGTGGCGTACTGAGTTTGTCCTCGCTGGAATGTCAGCGCCCGCGTGCCTCCACCACCCCAACCTTCCTTCTTGATGGTCATCGTAAGGCTTTTGAGACACGCACACACGCACGCACACACGAAGAAAAAAGTGAGATGTAGGAATATGTGTAGCCACAACGACAAAATGCACACAAAGGCTGAAAAATTGTGTATTGGTTTGAGCGAAAGATGCAAATGGGAAAAGTCCGAAGAAAAAATTGACTATCACCTCCAGGACTCAAACCAGGCCACCGATGCTCTAACCACTGAGCAGCAGAGACCCTTCCACATTTTCATCTGACTTAAATGCATTGCAGAACACTTTGGGAGCTTTTTTCAATTATCTAATTCCGTACGTGCATCTCCACCGTTCACACCAGTCTAGGGGAACACAGGAAAATATTTCCAAACATCATTATTCTGGGTGCATCACGTCTGGATGTCAGTATAAATTATTATTCTGGGTGCATCACGTCTGGATGTCAGTATAAATTATTATTCTGGGTGCATCGCGTCTGGATGTCAGTATCATTATTCTGGGTTAATCACATCTGGATGTCAGTATCATTATTCTGGGGTTATGAATTTATCTCATTTTTTGTCACCTGATATCGTTGATTGGTATAATTTTCTTTCAGTTACTACTCGCATTGCGCGTATTTATATTGAGTTTTGATTTAATTTTGATTTGCCAGTAGTCCTTCAGAAGAGGGAGCCACGAAAACGCTCAAGGAATAATTATACATGAAAAAAAGATTTTGCTTATGGTGTTTGTACGGAGTGCGCCGCTTACTATACATATTGCGTTTTATAAGAACATCATTATATTCAGCATTTTGCCGTCCTCTGCCAACAGCCCACGCCGAGAAGGGAGCGAAAACATTCGGTTCGGAAAATGTTCGCTCCAACGGCTGTTCCATCAGATAGATAGGCTTTTCACCGAATTAGTTTTTCGAAAGATACTCACGGTCTATTCGACAGGTCAACCATTTTTGCAAAAATATTTATGAAGCAAGTTTAAAAGAAGCTGCCACGGACAAACTTGGTGGTCAATTCAGTTTGGAGAATGTATTTAGACAGCAACATCAGCATAGAATTAGCTCTTTCAAAAAAATTCAGAAACCCCGAATTGAAATTTCTTTTTCTTCGTCGTTAGCATAGCTTACTTGTTGCTGAAGCGCAACGCCGGCTTGGTTCCATGCAGTGCTTCATACTTCTTGCTGAAGACTGTCAGGAACTCGGTCTTGAAGATGCACTCCATCAGCGTGTCATACTCGGCTACATGCATGATGAAGAAGTCATCCTGAACATCCCATGCAAGGTTACACAAGTGGAGAAAGGGAGAGAAAGAATGGATGGAGATGAAGAGAAAGGACAGAAAGGGAGAGAGAAAAGGTTGAGCGGGAGAGAGAAAGGACAGAGTGCGAGCGAGAAAGTATAGAGGGGAGACAGAAAGTATAGAGAGGGAGAGAAAGCATAGAGAGGGAAATGAAGATGAGATAATAGAGATGGCAACATTATTTAAGTACAAGTACATTTACCAACACGTGCAAACACAGTGCCCAAGACGGATCAAAATTCCTCCTTCAAATCATCTAGTCATGCTCACGTATCCAAGCTTGTGCACACTCAAGCAGAAGCTACTCACTCCTCTCTCTGATTCTGAGAAAGGTACTCATCTAGTCAAATTGTGCTCACGTGGTATACGCTGGCAGGGAAGCAATAACGTCGATCACTAATGTGCTCACTGATCAACCAACCTTCTGCACAAACATCATGACTTCCTGTATAAAAGCAAGTGAAAGGATACGTGCATTACCACTTGTCACTTACCTGAAGTTGGCTAAGCGAGATAGCAGTGACCTCCTCCAGGGCTAGTTTCCGCTTCACTACTTCCTGGATCTTTCCCTTGTCTGGACCCTTAGCGATCTGAGCGACAAGCAAAGAGACGATACATGCTTACAGTTCAGCTCAACAAAGGAACAAAATTGATAATAATGCTTCCTGAACAGGAAGGAAGGCATAGAAGGAGAGAAATTAAGAGAAGGGAGAGAGAGAGAAACGGAGAGAGAACGAGAGCGTGAGAGAGGGAGACAGAGGTGGAGAGAGACAGAGTCAGAGAGACATAGAGAGACAGAGAGACTAACAGGGGTAGAGAAAGAACAAGATAGAGAGGGGAGGAGAGGAGAGAGACATATAGAGAGACAGAGAGGCCGAAAGGGGGAAGAGACAAACAGACAGATCGGGGGAGGGGAGAGAGAGACAGGAAAACAGAGATATTCACGCAGAGTTAGAGACAAATACCATGAGTAGAAGAGGCAGAAAGAGAGATGACAGGATTGGAAAGAGACGCAATTCGAGTGTTTGGGTACCCTGAAAATGCAATCTACCCACTACCCCGAGACCAGCCTACAAAGCAGAGTCATGCATATCATGCATAAACGGTCCCAGAGAGCCCTATACCTGCCTGTGATTCCAAACATTTGGCGGAATCATGTGTAAGCGGACCACACTTAATAGTATCAACCTATGATCATGACCATCAAGTCCTGATCTTTTTACTTTTGTATTTTTATATTTTACGAAAGTGCACATGCCTACATAGCATGGAAGAGAACAAAAACAACAACAACAGCAAGAGGACATAGGGGACTATAAAGGGCGTGTAGGTGCTATAAAGCTGTGCCGGTGAGGCGAAGTGCGCTCCGCCCGACCAATGGTCTCGGGATCAAGGAACACATCACTGACCTTCTCAGCACCGATCAGGTAGATGTACTTCGTTGTCAGTATGATGTAGCGACTTGCCGGCTGTGCCGAGTACACACAGCATACAGAACAAGAGAGTCAAAACAGTCACGTGTTGAAACTGTGAAGATGGATTTATCATTATGCATGCATACTGCAGTATGCGGTCGTTTAGATGGAGCCGATTCTAGGACGCTCTCACTTGAAACTGCTGTGTGTGTTGTTCCTATCTTGAAAAGTGGACATGGATTGTGTTTAGTCACTGGAGAGTCATAGCATCAACATAAACAACATGGGTGGCAGCAACTTGGAAATGATACATGTTCACTCACGAGGTGCCTGATCCAGGCACCTTCGGGTATCAGCTTATTTATTCACAATCCGTATATAGCATCCTTGGCCTGGATTGCGCACCGGGGTCGGTAGGTCAAGGCCGAGAACATGATTGTTAACGTGCAGGTGCAAGAGTACATAAGGTTACATTGACATTCACTCATTCGATTCACATTACAACTGAACCTCAATCACTGAACAAGGAGAATGGTTCACCGTGCTAAGCATGGCGTGCATTCCGCACGCCTCCAAGGGAACAACAAAGAAAGACGTTGTTTAAAGCGAAAAGTACTAGCATACCTTAAAACGTCTGTCAAACTTTGTGCAGGTAGCTGCAAACTCCACACGTTCTCTCTTCGCTGTTCACACATAGCAAAGAAGTGTACACATGAAGGTATTACAATCATGTTGATTCAGATGTTGAGTCAATAGTATTAACCCTTTAAGAGCCACAGGAACTTTTCAAAATTCTGCATTTTTTCGTGTTCCTCGGATCATAGCTTCAGTTCTACTCACTCAATCCTCACAATCTAGGGCTTCCTGGAACGGTCTCCGCGAGAGGAAGAGAATGAGGTCGATCATGATAGCCAGCACACCGTCTATCCAGCGCTAGATCGCAGCGACAGTACGAAAAATGGCCAAAATGCGTCCAATTGCGTCCCGCTCCAGATATTTCATTTTACTCGATCGTGGAGTTCCAATTTTTTTGCTGTTTACTCTTGACAATATCAACAGTGAAACCCGTGCAAATTCGAGTAAACCAGAGTGACGAAAAGTCTCAAAATTCTCAATACTAAAGTTGCACTGCGCGCTTTTGAAATTGCCGCGATCGCGGCTCAACTTACGAGTGATTTATCTCAGGAATCGATGCTCGCAGCGCTTCGCGGATTGTTTCTCCCGACAGGTGAGAGTTTTCTCTTCACCGTGGATATTTCGATCGATGGATTTGAGCGAGATTGGACTGAGTTACGATCTTTTGAAGTTTTGCATTTGAATGCGTCGTTTACGACGTATTCAAGTATGGGGCGGCTCTTAAAGGGTTAATTAAGGGGTCGTCCACAAATATCGATATTTTTTTAGAGATAATATTCGTTCGTTTGGGGGAGGGGGGGGGGGGGGGGGTGGTTCCTGTTCGTCTCGTCCTTTTGAAAAAATATCGATCTCTAAATTTGGGCGGGCACTGTGCAAACATGCAGTTGATGACCTACACAAAGTGAAAGTCAACCCCAAGAATACAGCCATGGCAAGGATGAGAGACTGTGGCAATGTAAACCTAGGTGTATTGTGAATTTGGAGTTCCTGTTGGTCACATTTCGCGAGGAGATTGTACTTCATTAGAATATAACGATACCGTGCATAAACGTGTGTATGTTTGTTTCGAGGGGGAAGGGAGGGGTCCGGGGAGACATGAACAAATATTGTCTTGAAAACAGTATCGATATTTACGGACGGCCCCTAAGGAAGAAGAAAGGACCAATGAGTTGCGAGTTATGACTAACAGTCTGCCAAGGTAACGAGATATTAAGAAGTCAGATAGTGCATCCCGTTACCTTGGTGGACTGTTAGCCATAACTCGTAACTTAAAGATCCTTTCTTCTTCCTGAACTAATGCATGTTGGGATGAAAATCCTATACTGAGCATCTACTCTTCACCATACCCGAGAGAACTTATTGCGGATGACTAGTACTCGTTGCACTCGGATGGATCACCAAAGATTTGGATTCATTAGAGAAGACCATACCGGTACGTGGAATACACATGGAATAGCTAAGTATCTTGTGTCATTCTACAAAACGTAACGTCTCGGGCCTTACCATTATAGGCATTTTTTAAATCACTATTAAAGTTAGTTTCGCCACCTCCACTCCTAATCCCTCCCCCAGCCACATCCCATCCCCCATGCCAACTCCCCACCCCAATCCCTACAAGTCAGCAGTGATGTACTCAACAACTGGTGTGTTCAACACACTGGTCACGCCAGCCGAGACCACACATGGGCCTGGTTTGATAACGTTGCCGTACAGCCCAACGGCCAGCGTCGCCCGGCATCTTGTTCGACGATCGCTCCGACAGCAAGCACTTTATGCCTACCCTGTCCACTCAGTAGCTGCTTCAGGTGTTAGCTGCAACGTTTCATTCGTACATGGCCTGAGTGTGGCTGCCATATCTACCTGGTGGACATGTCACCAATGTAAACACGGACAGCATCCAATATCATCCACTATCATCTCAGTGAACAGCTTCGGCAAGCTAGATTAGTTTCTACGCCAGAAGCCAAATGCCATACTCCTCAGAAAGCAGGATTATTCTCACGAACAATGGGACCATGAGTTGGCCAGCAAAGAAGACCCACGAAGAGATTGATGGCTCACATGTTGAAAGCAGCTTGTGTGCCTCTTCAGCATCAGCGCCAGCTGGCCAAGCAACGGAAACTGGCCATGCACCAACACCGTCAACACGTCATGCACCATCAGCAAGTTAAGAAGCCAAAGCAGAAGGAGTGCTGGGCACAATGTGCTCAATCCTTAGCAGTGGCGCTCACAAACTACGGAGGAGGCCAGTGGATGACTGATTACAACACGCAACAGAACTTGCAAGAGCCTCAGATGCAGTTGCCCGACGTAAAGCCCTCAAAAGTCAACTTGGGTGTCGCAAGCAAGTGATGATGGAGTGCTCGAAGGAACACGCCTTTCGGCTCGCATTCTCCAAAACTGGCAAGGTACTGACTATTGAAGAGACCCAACAAAATGTACAGGCGCCCTCCAGAGCTGGCAAGGTACTGCTGTAGCGTTGGCACCCTGGTGACTCACACAGCTACAATCTCTTTCTATGTTATTGGCATGCTTCACTGCACTTTGCTCGGCAGTGTGCTCATTGAGACCCGTGTGTAATTTGCCTCCGAGAGACTGTGGCCCGCTACAAAATTGGTGGCTGCGGTAAAATTGTTTTCTCGTTACGTTTGACCAGCATGGCCCAACCTGATGCACCATCCGCCGCTGCTCCTGCGCCCGGGAAGTGTTCGTGCAAGCTGCCGGACAACTAACCAGACGTGATGCAAGCCAAACGTCATCATTTCCGATATTATTTGCCATGTTCCGGTAGACGCTCTACCAGTAGTTATCTACTATAATGTTCGTGCTCTGCTACAAGTATTCGAATCACGAGGACGTGATTGTATTAAAGAGGGAAGGTGTAGCGTTTTACACTGGTGACTCACACAGGTACAATCACTGTCTATGTAATTGGCATGCTTGTTACCACCACTGCACTTTGCTGGCATGGACTACTGCCCAAGTGCAGTCCGCCACTTTACTTCACTCAGCCTGCCGTGCATTCCTTTCATGTATTCGACTGCGCGTCCTGATCCATTTCCCAATGTAGCGTATCTCCTGGACATAGTCGTTAACGTACGCTGCACGTACTGATCCATTTCCAAATGTAGCGTATCCCCTGGCCATAGTAGTAACGTACGGAGTCTCACCCTATAAAGCTACTGTCACAATTCAGTTCACTTCAGTGAGAGTTCAATCTTCATTCCAGTCTTTATTGCAGTTCAGTAATAATGAACAACAGTGTGATCACTGAGACCCGTGTGTGTTTTGCCTCCGAGAGACTGTGGCCCGCTTCACTGCCTATTGAAGAAATCCGAAAAAGTATACTGGCGTTCTCCAGAGCTGGCAAGGTACTCCCTATCGAAGAGTTCAGACAAAATGTACAGGCTCTCATTGCTGTAGCAGCTTGCCAGCTGGCATGGATGGCTGCAGCACTGCCAACAAGGAATGATGTGTTGGATGACGACGACTCCCAAGAGCATGAGCAGGCCGAGGACTGGACCGCCCAATAACACCTCAAGTAAGTATTGCTTCACTATTCTGTACGGGATGAACCTCTTGGTAACATAGTTTGACGTAGTTGTTCCACATCACACTAGTACACGCATACCTCGTTTATCCGGGCGGTCCGGGACCGAGCACTGGCCGCAACTTCAAAATGTCTGTAAACTCCGAATCCCATACATTTTGATGAGGAAAGACCATAGAAGCGGCATGTGACGTCATTATTTCCACGAAAAAGTGACTATAATATTTCCACTGAAACTCACCCAAAGGGTGTGCGGTAGACTGAAGCGCTCGAAACTTTGTGGTCAGGATAACCGAGGTATGAGTGTACTGGCTTCGTGTTAGTGAAACAAATATTAGGATCCGACAAGAAGTTGTCCATGACCGAGAGCTAAACTGACTAGAACTAATTTCCTTGCTGCTAGGAGAAGCTGGATGTCACATTCTTTCTTGGCACTTCAAGTCGTATTATATTTTACTTTTCCTAAGAGCTTAAACTACCCAAGCTACTCATGGCAACGACATACGAGGCTCTGCACGAGCACTATGGCAGGTGCATGACATTTTACTTCGAGCACGTATAAATACCATTTTTATTGCTTGCATTCACCTATAATTCGACCAGTATGGAGAATTATCGATACTGAATCGATTAGTGAATCATTCACTACACTAATTTCATATAAAAGAAAAAGGACCAAGGAACTACAAGCTACGCTATAATGTTCACTAACACCACCAGTTACTAAACAATCAGCTCATGCAATAACATTGCACGACATTGACTACCATTATAGCGAAACTAGTAGTTCCTTGATCCTTTTTCTTTTCTTAATGTGCGTAAGCTCCACTGCAGCCACTTCATTGAATGAAAAACCTTACATCCTGATGATGGCTCCTGGCCGAACATTTGATTGAGATAGTTATTGTAATTTGCAGCGAAGAGACCACTTGGATTGAAGATGGTGGGTTGTAAGGTTTCCTTTTTCTTTCCGATACATTTATCCTTTGTTCTCCACCCGAGTCCATTTTTACACTAGTTACTAGTGCTGAAACGATTATATCGATTACTCGTTACTTACTCGATAAGAAATAGATCGAGCGGTTATTTCGATTTTATCGGCTAAACGAGTAGAATGGTACTTACGCTCGGTACAGGATTTCCCCCCTTTTGGGGGGGGGGGGGGGGGGGTTGCACAAAGCGGGCATGCACCAACAGTGTTGCGAGTACGACACGAATATGTACATGCCTGTACACTTGCAACATCGATGTACGTGTAAAAGTACAAGCGTGATCGGAGAAACATCGACGCAATCACCGTCGCCGTCTTTTGAGCTGACTACTTTTCTTACATACAGCATGCAGGACGGGCAGGCTCAGTATGAATCTACACTAGCTGCAGGGGCTGGAGTTCCCTCCACGTGCGAGTAGTCTTGACCTAAAGACAGTAAAGTGGTCTTCAGTTTCGTTTTTCCGATCTGTCGACGGTTCCCGAACCAGTTTGCTCGACGACGAGCTAGGCCTGGCGTCAAGGCATATTTTGAGCATAGACAGGAAAAGCAACTAGTTACTTGTTGGCGCGCCTCAAGTCAGCTCATCTGTCGAAATCCACCGATCTGCACCCCTGGCCGGCTTCTCTGATTTCATCGCCGGAGTCAGCGAAGTCACAGGCGACGGGCACCATCATCTCTTGGGTTGCAACCAGTGTGTCGCCTCTGTCTTGTCTGTATTCGTCTGGTCAGTCCGAACAGCTGACGGACTTGTTGCGGGATCATCGGATTTATGCACCCGCTTTCCGTCGTTGGTGATGTTGGACGTAATTTTTTTTAAATTTACAGAATGAACATTATACTGATGTAGTTACAATAATAATCGCTTAGCCGATAAGCCGATCGTTATGGTATCAGCTAAGCCACTAAAGAAAAAAAGTAATCGTTTCAGCACTACTAGTTACAGTTAACAATTTCGTCTGATATTGCTACTACAGTTGTACTTGGTGAAATCCGACCCAAAGTGCATAGGTGGTGCAATGAACTTGCACGGCCCTTGACGGCCTGGAAGTGGTGCGAATGCGGTTGAACATACACATAATACCAGTACAAAGATGCATTCGGAACTGGTCCAGCGAGCAAGTTTTGCACTGTGGGTCAGATTTCAGTGAGCGCAAATGTAACAGCATATAAGTATTATTGCTTCCACACTGGCAGCTACGCAGTAGTTAAAAAGGCAGCGTGGCGACAGGAAATCTGATATGGAAAGAAGTATAGCGAGCGCATTCACCACGACACCAATGGAACACATTGGCATCGTGGTATGAATGCGCTCACTATATTTCTTTCCATATAGGCAGTAGTTACTGGGCAATACTGGCATACCTAAGTGCTGCCGTAGATGTGGCTTGTCCTCCATGCCGATGTAGTCACCAACAAAGTTGCGGTTGATGCTGTTTCTTCTCCTCTCCTTCTTCTGGTACAGGATGTCGGATGCTGACAACAGAAGGAAGAAAGCATTGCATAAATACATGTGCACATAAAAGCACAGGCAGAGAAAGGACACACACACACACACACAGCACATACTATGAATCAGACATTGAGTACAAATGCACAGGCAGGAGGAGGTGCTCGACACTTCACACAGTCTGCATAGCGCTTGCAGTTGCCAGGTTCAACACTGTAAAGCATTGAAGCTAGCTAAGCTAGGTGGTATACACTGCCACATGGTCATATTGAGATTCTCGTTTCAGAGTTTTTAGCGTATTTCCCCGAATATAAGTCACACATTTTTACACTAAACTTCAAGGGTAAAGAAGGGGATGCGACTTACAATCAAGAGTGACATCCTACTTATATGCATGTATTGAAACAATGTGGTTCAAACCTCAAAGTGGGGGTGCGACTTATAATCGAGTGCGCCTTACAATCGGGGAAATACAGCACCCCTGTATTGTTTCATACATCTACTCAGACAGGGCGTACCTTCCTTTCGCCGTAGAAGCGCGTCTTTCCGCGCTTTGTGGGCTCGCCATACTTTCTGAATGCACCGTGCGTAGCCGTCAAACTTGCGATCTCTAGTCTCTTCTAGCAAGAATAGCTACACAGCAAACAGAGAGCACGAGAAAATGAACAAGGTCAACACCACGCTTCACCCACACTCGCTAACACAAACTCAAGCACACACGCATGCACACAGACACACACACACGCACACATGCACGCACACACACACACACACACACACACACAAGCAAGACATGAGGTCATGTGTATACACACACCTATCAAGGACTGTCAGTACTCCTCAGCCCCCCCCTCCCCCCCCCCCCCCCCCACACAGACAACACATGCAAACAACTAAAGTCCGAGTCTATTCGTACACAACAGATAACGTTACAGTACTCCTAACGAACACCCCTACAACCCCCCCCCCCCCCCCTCCAACCCCCTCCAACCCCCTCCAACCCCCTTCCAACCCCCCCCCCCCTCCAACCCCCCCCCCCCCCCCCCCTGCATCCCATCCACACCTCCACAGCCAAGGCCGAGTGGCACACTATTCTCCCCGGAGATACAACAGTTCTTTCCAGACATCCTAGACCACTGCACTCACCGACTCCGGGTTCTTGATGAAGATCTTGGTCTTTCCTCTCTGCCACTGGTCAGCGTCCATGTGCACAGAGTTGAGAATGTGCTTGCAGCCATCCAACACACTACCTCGCCATGCAGGATACGTCTCTGGCGTCAGGATTGCATACCTGTATGAGTGGCAGATATCATGGTGTATATAGGAAACAACATAGTGAATGATACGCATGCAACGATGGCCAGTGCAAAAAGCGGAGCAGAAAGAAGTAGGAAAAACGGAGCCTTCCGTGGCTGGGAATCTGTAATCACTATAGCCCCAAAAGTACTCTTTTCTGAGAAAAATATTCTTTCAACCAACTCACAACTCAGATCAAAAAATGAAATTCCTCCACAAAAGAAATAGGACACTGACAACTTCATGGCGTCCTGTCCGCAGAGGCTGAACCCTGGGAGAAGAGCAGACTAGTAGGACAAGATAGTGCAAAAAATACTAGATCTCATATGGCACACTGCTTGGGCGGAGCGCTGACATCATAGTTCCTCTTCTGTCGGCGTTGTGCCGAGGCTCAACAAACACAAGCAATGCTATACGAGTGGCGCAAGGATTTTTGTAGCTTTGTAACATAAGCTAGGGCGCAGTGTCTGCTCTAGGATTGTAGGACAGCCGGGTACACGTGTACCTGGCGTAACCATTTCAACCGGGTCGGAGCCGGGTGCACATGTGTTCGACGCGCGCCTCTGCATGATCTGTCACACATACAAGCCATGTAGTCGGTCCTTTCAAAGTTCGAACGAGTAAAGTACCAACCGGGTCACAGGTGACCCGGTACTGTATTTTCAATCGGGTCCAAGCGCCGCCCAACCGGGTCGATTACCCGGCTCACCCGGCTCTGGAGCAGACACTGGGGCGGTGGTTGGACTAGTAGCTGAGGTACGTGCCTGATTTGCCCCCGGAAGAGACTCAGGCGTTGATCAATACACAATGCAACGTACCGTTGAAGGAACTTCTCGAACGGCCGTCGGTACGCAAAGCCTGCACGTCTAACACGGATATTCTCCTTCAGGCCGAGATACTCCACTTGATGCTTACATCTGCACAGGCATGCACAAGCACGCACACACGTACGCGCACACACACACGCACACAAGCAAACACACATACACACACATACACACATACACATATGCATAAATACAATGAACGTGTACGCAATCATAATGCGTAGCACCCAAAGTGCATGAACTTCACATAACACTGGTATGCAAACTGCAAAGATCAAGTCCTGAATTCGAAACTGAATGTAATTGAATCGTCAAATCCGAATAGGGCTCGAAAGTGCTACGTCACAGCATAGCGACAATTTCAAAAATTCAAAAACTGGATCCACCTGGATCCAGTTTTTGTATGGATACAAGCACATTATAAGCCGTCTTACTCACCGCAAGGTGATGTAGCCAGTGAAACTGACTGATTTGGCTACTGGGGGCGGGGTTATAACTGGTGGCGAAGTAAAAGTCACCCCTGCATACGACATGAGTGGGTTGCTATGCACCCACATACTGAGGCAATAGCAAAGTCACACCTTAGTGGATCCAAAATAGAAATCTGATGTCAACTTACTACTCCCTGGCCGTTTTTGACGTCATCACTTTCAAGCCTTATTGGGCTGGAATGATCACTTCCTTTGTAGAAAATTTAAGGACTAGTATATTATACTGTTTGTGAACAGCTCTGCGCAATTTAGAAGTACATCGTATGGATTGGTAAAAGTAGCTGCCTACTCTCATGTCACACTGCAATTCACATTTCTCTCACTTCATCTTCAAAATTTCAAACATCAGTAAGATCTCCTCGACGTATCGTGTACGTCTCTGGGGACCAATAGACTTCTTGCTAATTGCAAGGGTGTCTTCTCATCTACCACCTTACAGTACTGCCGGGCGCCGAAGAACGACCAGGCTAGAATTACACCAAGCACAGCATACCAATGTATACACGGTGACTCAACTGTGCATAGACTGTAATACATGAAAAGAAGAACGGTCTAAGCTGCCCCCCCCCCCCCCCCCCCCTAGTTCTTTGGTGACTGATAGGACTGTAGTCTCCTACCTGCTCTCGTCCCAATCATGTGCTCTCTTGGTTTCGTTGGGCTTGAGGCAACGCACGTAGCTTGGCTGACACAGCATCAGCCTATCCACTAGCTTGTTGGCTTGAGTCTATAACACACACGCACACATGTACACACACATACGCATGTGCACACGCACAATACAATACAATACAATATGCCCATCCGGAGATGATAGCAGGTCCCGAAGGGACCAACAGTGTTCAAGTCACGAGCAGAATCGGACGTGGCGAGTCAAGTCCTGGCGACGGCGATAGCGCTTTCCACAAGTGCAAACGAAGACTAAGGTGACGGGCTCGGTCGGAGGGATGGTGCTGCATGCTGATCTCCATTCTCTGCGATCCTGGGCGAGGTCGTACCAGTCCGCTATCTGGCGGTCCTTCATGTCGGACACAACATTGTCCCGCCACCGCTTCCGGGGCCCATGACGTGGCCGGGTCTTGTCCAGTTCGCCGAAGAGGATACACTTTGGCATACGGGAGTCATCCATTCAAGGAACATGGCCTAACCAGTGGAGTCGTTTTCAGTGTCTCCTCGATCGGCTGTACCTTGGCTCGTTCAAGGAGAGTGGTGTTGGAGATGTGCTCCTGCCATTGTGTTACTCTGCGAATATCCAGCAGGAAACGAACACAGCGGTGATGAAAGGCTGCAAGCCGACGAACATCCACGGCCTTAATTGCCCAGGTCTCACAACCCATACAGCAGCGTCGACAAGACAACGGCCGAATATACGTGCACCTTCGTCTTGGCGGAGAGATCACGATTGGAAAAGACAGATGAGCGCAATGTGCCAAATGCTCAAGAAGCTTTCGCCAAGCGAGCCGAGATCTCAGCAGTCATCTGGCCAACTTGATCAACTGGAGCGGTTCCGCAGGGCTTACTCTACAGCTAAGACTAGATACGTTGTATGAACGGTACATTTATCCGACTTCGTATGTGCTCTGCATGTCAATCAATCACGTGTGAAGTCAAGTTGCCAGGAAACACCCCCCCCCCCCCCCCCCCACACACACACAGACACCCAACCACACCCCCACCAGCCACTGACCCACCCGCCCACTCGCCCACCCACGCAGCGCACCACCCGTCCAACCACCCAGCCCCCAGCCGCTGACCACGCTACTGTACGTAGTTCTGCGGTGTGCTAAACGGACGGAGCATACCGCTGACTTACTCTAATCTTAGTGCCGAACGTTGATGGTCGACCCTTGGACTCAGCGCGTGTGTTCTCCGGGAACAGAGCGGTGATGAACGATCTGAACATCAACACACACGGCGAGGGGAGACCAAATGGCACGTATGCATCAATTTCCCCGCCAATAGGCTTTGCGGAGCACGTCCACTACGACCGTGCAAACTGTCATACCAGCTCAGCATAAAAAGGTCATGAACTTCGTAAAGTCGTACTCATAGTTGGCCTAGAATGGGTTTTCGATGTAATGCAACCATTGAATTTTCTAAATACGCGGCGAGGCAACAATTGTTTTTAGACGTGCAACCAACAGAACAAGCGTATTTCTTTTCACTTTTGAGAAGGTGTCTGAACAATGGTGTCTGTCTGTCTCAGTGATGTCCTGTTTCTCCTTCCTTGTTCTCCACCGCCTTCATATCCACTTGTTTTGAATACAATAAAGCCTTCATGAAATGTCCGTTCAGCTCGTTCAGTTGATTGCACTTCTAAAAACTATTGATTTTTCGAGTCACGTCATTACCCACTTACACTTTGCTCGACTGCATGAGTTCAATCAGATCTGTGAAGAGCACATCGCGATTGCGCTCACAGAACTCCCCCACGTCATACGTGACCTTGCCGGCATAGTGCTGGATGACAAAGCCAGCGCTGAAAACGCTGAAGTGCTCACTGCCTGGTAGCGCAGCCATGTTCAGTTTCTAGCCAGGGGGAATATTATTGGAGAAGACGCACATGTGAACAAACAGACAGACATGTACACACACACAGCCACACACACACACAGCCACACACACACACAGCCACACACACACACACACACACACACACACACACACACACACACACACACACACACACACACACACACACACACACACACACACACACTTGAACGTATGCAAGCACGTCCGCACATGCACATGCCCAAGCGTACATGCACACACGTACGCACACACGCACAAAGGGACATACATATACACAATTATACAGGCAATCAGTGTTTCGTCGCTATGACAACAATGCTTTACACAACGGGTAGCTCTATGGGCTATGGTCATGGTTATGGCTAAGGTTGAGGGCAGGAGTAAGAATAGAGGACTAGACAGTGATAATTCCCTGAAAAGTAGCTAGATAAACGTCCTCGGTGCAAAATTTGATCTGGAAATCCCCCCGTGACATGTCAGCTGGGAAAGTCAATTCGCTACTACCATTAGTTCTCACCTCTAGGAGTTTGGAGTCAGCTCCGTCAGTCTGCGCATGCATGGTAGCACACACGTCATCCATCACCGACATGATGCCGGGTGGTTTCTGGGATGGCCAACAACGAAACATAACAAGAAACATGCATATATGGACGGCATGGATACATACATACAGACTAACAAATCACCCCAACATACACACATACACACACACACACACACACACACACACACACACGTGCGCGCACGCACACACACACGCACACACACACACACACACACACACACACACACACACACACACACACACATACACACACACACACACACAGATGCACCCTCAACTAGGGAGGGCCAAAATATGCTCAAATTTTTGGCATATTATGATTTTTGCATATTGGCCACTTCCTTCAAAATACGCTCGAAATATGAACTGATATCAGTGATAATTATGCGAATTCTTTGCTCCTTGTAGCAAATAGGCTACATTTGGTACAATATGCTAGATTTGCTACTTTATGCACCTTGAGTCGCGGACACTCTCTTCTCGGGTCAAATTTTCGTCCCGTGTTCGGATGAGCATTTTTCCTTCCGGGCTAAGTTTGGAAGTGTTCCCTGACCGAGCGTGCCGTGGTAAGTTTCCTTGTCCATTTCCGCAATCTGCCCTATAATTATGCGAATTCTTTGCTCCTTGTAGCAAAATATGCTACATTTGGTGCAATATGCTAGATTTGCTACTTTATGCGACCTTGTGTCAAAAGGACCAAAATATGCGAACATATGCGCAAGCATAATTATTCGGGCCCTCCCTACACTCAACCCCCCCCCCCCCCCCCCCACACACACACACCATGCACACTGTCACACAAACTCAAGAAATATTCGTCTGGAATTTAATTTCATCTTTTTCGTCCAAGGAGCTTTCGGACTAAATTAAATACTGGACTAATATCGATTTGTCCAGCTTGTCAATACACTCTTGTGATCCATGGACGAAATGTACAACCGGACGAACTCTCTTTCTTTGGAGTTGGACGAAATTATTGTCCATGCCAATGCCCACAGGTATGAGCAGTGTCAGTTACTGCAGCGAATTACCAATCAAAGCTTCTAACCTTGGATTCGATCAAGTCACACACAACCTTGTTGTTGAAGTACTCAATGGGCGTCCACTTGATACCTTCTGCAACATACTCTTCCTAAAGTACACACCAACACAAGAATATTATAACACATAAAATATAATATGAAGAGTGTACTCGAGCATACTGCATAACAAGTAATTTTAGAGGTATAAAAACGTCACTGTAGGGGACCTGCCAGGTTTCAGGTCAGAGCCGGCGCCACTGGTATGGCTGGTGCGGCTTTTTACCAATTCCAGCTTCACACAGATTTACTATTCTTCATGTCCAGTGAGAACTTCTATGTTAACTGTATACAGTGGACTTGAATCTGTTGCTAGCGGTGTGTACAGCTGGAACACACAGGTGTGATGCAGCATAGAGCTAGAGATGCATCGTTCCATGACACAAAAATTGGGCCAGGGAAAACGATCGGCCCTGCATGCAGTCGACCTGGGGCCGTACCACCCCTCAGGAGCTGGCTCCGGGCCTGCCTCAGGTGTAATGTAGAATCAGGTGACTAGCATTCTCTCTACATACAGTGTGTAGCCTAGCGCCTTTTACGTGTTATCTAAGTTTAGGAGCCTGGTTTCTTTACCGAAAGTTCCGATATCAGTATTACACCGACAATACAATGTTGTACAGTACCCATCACACAATGACATTTCCTTATTATCAGCTTGAAGTACAGTCAGACCTCGCTTATCCGGCCCTCTTTTATCCGGATCCCTCGCCATCCGGACGAAAATAACTGGTTATAGATTTACAGCATAGGTGGTGCATCCAACATAACCGGTGTTCGGTTATCCGGTTCCCTCGCCTATCCGGATATGTTTTGGTGGAAAACGACGGATGTGTGTGGTTAAGCAATGTCTGACTGTACTGCGTTGGCAGCAGCAGCAGCGTAAGATTCTTCAACCTTCGACACTGGTCATACTGTAAGATAATGATGTTCCGGTACAATGCAAAGCTTAGTTGAACCCCTCCTCTCCCTCCCGCCATGTAGCTGAGTACTTGATTTAACCCTCTAAGTAATACACTGTTTATTCTCCAACAGTACGCTACTGGATTCTTCTCGGTTCTCACCCATACTCCGTGTCATAGAGACAGTTGTGGCATGGGAACACACAATCAACTAGCTCAAAGACCAAGTGGTAAGGTGTCGGTCTTGTAAACCGAAGACCGACGGTTCAAACCGCTCTTGGGCCTGTTGCTCCATATTTTATTCATTTACAAGACACAGTGACGGATCCTCGAATGTTCTGCCTTTATCCCCCCCCCCCCCCCCCCTACAAACCCTCCTGAAAACTTTGACAGTTTGGTATCATTGTAAAGGCTTGTATATGGCGCAGCCCACAGTGAATTACACCTGAAGGCAAACACGCTATTATGTAGCACGCACCTGCTCAGCCTTGAGAGTCAGTTCGATGAAGATCTGCTGTAGCTTCTCATTCACAAAGTTGATGCAGAACTGCTCGAAACCGTTCTTCTTGAAGATCTCAAAGCCGTAGATATCGAGCACGCCGATTGTCAAGTCAAACCGACGTGTCTCCATGGCCTGGTTCACAGACTGAAGAAATACAAGCACAGCAATGGACGGGTTTCACATCCTGGTCATGTGACTAAATTTGTGCATGAAGTGATCATGTGATGTGGACAGTGGAACCAACATGGCCACTGA